TCCCTTTTTTTTTCTCCCCCCCCCCCCCCCCCCCCCCCCCCCCCGATTTTTCTCTTATTAACCGTTAGATGAATTTTGAATGAGGACTATATAATTTCTTCATAACGTGCATCACATCTCAGTGTTCTTTCCTTAGTATGCTGAGAATGATGCAGGTTACCCATTTTGTCTCTTCAAAATTCTATAGATTTCTCATTTGATTGAGCAAAATTAGTAGAAACAGTGAAAGTGACACAAACTTGGTTTTTGCAGTGCAGTTCCTAGAAGTATACTCACTGTGAAGAGTGACAGCTCTTGCATCTCTCTCATGTGTATGTGTATATGTTTCCAGATAGATAAGCAGCCAATCTGGTAGCAGTTATAATCTTTGACACACAGCAGTTATGAAAAAATGTTTACGTATGTTTTAAGTTGCTTTCTAACGCACTTTACCAACTGAATAAAAAAACCTTCACATTGCAAACGCTGTGGATCTCATACATTTGTTCACCACTGCTCTGAGCCACTGCATGGCTTTCAGCATCTGAAAAATATGAAAGGGGAAGGCTTGGAAAAAAGCTGTGTCCAGTGTCTCTTGACTTTCAGGCAGACTGAGGTGGTAGATGACTTCCTATTTGTGTTGAAAATCTTCTCCTTTGTAGGGGCAGGAAATCCTAACTCATAATACCTCTAAATTGCAACTTCAGATCTCTTGGAAGTAATCACATTTTATCAGCACAGCTAATTGCAGTGAAAGTGGCAGTGTTTGATTAAAATAATCTGTAACCATTTTTGAGGACTAATGTGTGATAGTATTATGTGACTGTATAGATAGGTTTTGTTTCACATTTTTGAAAAAAGCCGCATAATGCTTGTCCACAGCTGTTTATTTAAAGTAGAGAATATAAAATGTTGGCCTTATTACTGCAGTGGTAATGTTCAATGTGAAACTTGTGTGAGGTCTGAAAGAGACTTGCACACACTATGAAATCATAGCTGTCGAGTATGTCAAGTCACCCAGATTCTTTCATAAGAGTAGAAGCGTGAAGAGCAGAGTTTAATGCTTTAATTTTGATTTTTCTTTTTCCCAACACTGACCAGACTTTAAATCCCAGCCTGAACCATCCCCAGTTCTGAGCCAGCTGACCCAGCGACAGCAACAACAAACGCAGGCAGTTCCTGTTCCTCCTCCTGGACTGGAGTCGTTCTCCCAGATAAAACTCCGAGAGCCATCTCCAGTAGACACCTCTACAGCTGTTAGCAAAATGTTACAGCTCCCCACTATATCTATGGATAACCAGGCAGTGACTGCCCATCAAACCCAGCAGAAACAGATAAAACCACCAAAACGGAGGATAACTCCAGCATCCAAGGTGGGTAATTGAGTGGTAGTTTGTTCTTAGTAAATGTAAAAACACACAAAAGCTTGTGTCAGGAATAGTGTGGACAGCAGGAACGGGGAGGTGGTTGTTCCCCTGTACTCGGCACTGGTGAGGCCGCACCTCGAATACTGTGTTCAGTTTTGGGCCCCTCACTACAAGAAAGACTTTGAGGTGCTGGAGTGTGTCCAGAGAAGGGCAACAAAACTGGTGAAGGGTTTAAAGCACAAGTCTTCTGAGGAGCGGCTGAGGAAACTGGGGTTGTTTAGCCTGGAGAAAAGGAGGCTGAGGGGAGACCTTATCGCTCTCTACAACTACCTGAAAGGAGGTTGTAGCAGGGTGGGTACTGGTCTCTTCTATCAAGTAACTAGTGATAGGACAAGAGGAAATGGCCTCAGGTTGCACCGGGGGAGGTTTAGATTGGATATTAGGAAAAATTTCTTTACTGAAAGGGTTGTCAAGCATTGGAGCAGGCTGCCCAGGGAAGCAGTGGAGTCACCGTCCCTGGAGGTATTTAAAAGTGTAGATGTGGCACTTAGGAACATGGTTTAGTGGTGGATTTGGCAGTGCTAGGTTTACAGTTGGACTCTATGATCTTAAAGATCTTTTCCAACTTATGTGATTCTATTCTATATGTAAGTTGCTAGGGAGAAGGAGCACAAAGACCATGGTATATTTCTTGTTTCTAAAGCAGGAAATTCTAAGCTGGATAGTTTTTAGGTCCAAAATGCAGTGATGTTGTCTTTCCCAAGCACATAGCTGATTGCTCCATGTGGAAAATAACTGTTGCTGAGTGATTCTGGTTTGACATAGTAGCCACAAGATGAATGTTGGCTGAAGGTGAATGGACATGGATGACACTTTGATATTGTAGAACAGTATGGCTTACTTTTTCAGCTCCAGATCAGAGCACAGAATCAATGAATTAATATCAGGTTACAAGAATGTAGTTAATTTATGTGATGCAAACTGGAGGGTTGTCACAGATCTAGTTAGCAGGGAAGGCTGAGGCAGTAACTAAAGAAACATGTAGTTAAGGAAGGAGAGGGTGTCAGTTACTGGTATCTAATACATGTAATGCATGCAAAGGAATTACGGCTTTTTTTCCCTCCTTTAAGATTCCTGCCTCTGCAGTGGAGATGCCTGGATCAGCAGATGTGACAGGGTTAAATGTTCAGTTTGGAGCTCTGGAGTTTGGATCAGAGCCTGCACTCCCAGAGTTTGGATCAACTTCAAGCAGTGAGAATACCAGCCAGGCGAACAACAATAGCTTGTACTCAAAATCTGTAAAGTATGTGTGAGTTCCCCTTGTGCATACTTACATGTGGTCTTTAGGAGGTCAAGTTTGTGCCAAAACCATCAAGGGACAGTTAACATGTAATGGATGGGGGAGATATGATGACTTGTAAGGCTAAGGGTTTTCTGTGGATGGCATCTTAAAGGAGAAATTTCTTTTCTAATGACAATCAAAATGTCTCTGGATGGGTCAATGTGAAGCTGGAAAGGACATGAATGTAAATAACCTTATAATAAGCTACTCTTTATAGAATTGCTTTCTCATGTTTAAATGTCTGGATTTTTAAGTTTGTTTGAGGGTTTGTTCCTCACAACACAAACTTTTCTGCTTTTGATCCAGGAGAGATGATCCTTGTACCATAAATGTGTGTGTTTGTAGATTAGCAACAGATTACAGATCTGATGCTCCTACAGGATAAGAAAAGAAGCCAGGCTTTCAGTATGCAGAAGCTCTTACTGAAATGCTGAAATAGCTGATGATAGATGCCAACGTACCAGTAACCTGTTTTTTTCTTCCTTATTCATTGAAAAATTGGCTTCAGTAAAAAGCTTCCTGAAGTTAATTCAGAAATACTACTAAAAATGAACTTTCACGTTGACTTGTAGTTCTATCAGTAGTTTAAGCTGTTTAGAAAGTAAAACACTGCTGCATGTTTTAAAGTATTTTTTCCTCTTTGCATAGTTCATTCTGTTAGACTGCTACTGTCACGTTAGAATTCTATTGTAAAAAGAGACTGGGTGTTGCTCATCATATACCAGACTTTATGGATCTAGTTGTTTAAAAATAGAGAGATTATGATCATTAATTTATCCTTTGACAAGGTGAAAATAACATGACTGGAAAGTGCTTGTGTGTAAACTCTTGCTTTGGTTGGGCAGGCAGGAGGAAGGTGAATGGTGCTTAGTGCAGCCGATGGTTTTGAAGCTGTGATTACTGGGTACCAAAGCAAAATTAACTATTTTTTTCATTATTTGATTTTCTACTATAAATAATGTAGATTTGACTGCATGTTTAAGGTAGTTTGAGATAACTGTATAGGAGCTGATCTTTTCATGAAGATGTTCAAGTTATCATTTACCAAGATGATAAATAATTTTTACTTTTTCCAGTGATCCTTTGAATACCTCTTTGCCAATACCCAATACAGTACAGGAGTCCACCTACACAACCTCTGCCATCACCTCTTCCAGTCTGACCTGCTCATCCCAGAGCACTAGCCCAGTAACAACAACTTCCTCCTATGACCAGACTTCAGTGCATAGTAGGATAGCGTACCAAAGCTCCATGGCTCCATCTGAATCAACCCCTGTTGCAGTTACGGTGAGTGAATTTCAGAAATAAGACCTTGAAAAAGGTGAAATACTCTTATCTGTTAGACTTGTATATATATATAGACATATATATATATTTAATATATATATATATACACACACTCACACACACACTTGTTAGACCCTGCTATGTTAATACTTTTAACGAAGCCAAGTGGTATTCTTGATTCCCAAGCCCACTCTGTTATTTGTTTTTACTTTTCCTATTGTGTAGCCGTTTTTGGCCATACTGTATATGGGATATAAGAGCCTCTGACCTTATGGGTTTTGACATCTTAAATTGCTGTTTGATCTTTTTTCTTAGTAACACTTAACATTCTACTTGAGTTTCCTTCCCTAAAGCTGAGATTTTAAAAAAGGAGCTATCTCTGTATGTAAATATTAGTAATCATATTTTACCATAACTTGACACTTTTTATCCAAAGGTATATTATTTATTAAATTTATATGGCACCTAGCAAATGGATCCCAAGCTGTTTGTGGCCCTTCCAGCATCACTGTTCTGTTGGCTATAGACACCAGTGGGAATTAATTTCATGTTTTATTTTAAAAAGCATAGGGAGAGGTCTGATCTAGGGCAGAGAGGATCTCTCTTGGGACCTACTCTCTTTGTGTATGGAATATAGGTTTGTTTTAAGAGAACTTAATTTATTAAATGTTTAAGGAACTTGTGAGAGTTTGTAAGTTTGTTTACTTCTGGCCTTTGTTATGTAATGGCTCAGTCACACTTGTCTTCTGCACTAGCTCGTATGTACTGGTGAGGATCAAGCGTAACTATCCACTTCTGTACTCCAGCGTTATCCAAAAAACAACTGGTGCTTCTCAAGTCTTATCTTTCAATGGAAAAAAATTGGCGTCTCTGTGTAACTTGGATAGTTAAAATTGTGAGTTGCATTAGATCAAAAGCACAACCATTTCCTATATGTTAATGAAATTCTTTCTTTCATATCGGTGTGAACCTGAAGTTTGTGTTATATACAATACATGGGAAGGTCTCCGGCTGATGGGTGTAGTATGGGCAGTGTATGGGATTCTGTATGTTCAGGACACCTTGCACTTGAGACAACTATTATGTGGTTTTGTTAAAGGCAGTAAAAAAGTTAATTTTCTGCCTTTTTGTCTTTCAATTTAGAATGAATATAGAATTTTGCATGAAGCATGTTTGATGTGTGATTCAGTCTGAAAACTTAATATGCCTCTAAGATGATTTATTCATTCAATTCTCCTTTGTTTACAGAATGGGCACAGTGGAGTTAGAACACAGGCAACTCTTGACAGTAAGTTTACAAAGCTTGGTTGTGCACAGGGCTTTCTGATCTTTCCTTACTACTTGCTGTGTGCACAACTGTTCCAGTGACATCGGGTTTAAGGTTTTGTATTGTTCTCCCTGACTAATTTTTGGCTGATCCATTTGAGTTTATTTTATACTCACATAGGATACACTGCTTGTTTCTTGCCTAAAACTGAAGTGTGAAAGCAGTCCTACTAAATATACAAACCTAAGCAGTCTTAGAATTAGAGAAGCAGCTTTGCTGCTGCTTTTCCTTTTGAATTTACTTGCCAAAATTTATTTAATATAAAATTAAAATAACATATACGATTAAAAATTAATATAAAATTGCTTAGAATTCTTCCAATTCTCAGTTGGGAAGCTGTGAGTAGCACTTGGCTGTAATGAAACAAAGTCACATTGTTTGAATGCACCTCTCACTGGGTATAGTGTTACGTATGCCCCGTTACAAGACTGTGGGGAATAAGGGTAACTAACATGCTCCCTCTGCTGGGTAACTTGCTGCCTTGCGGTGGAGTAACAATAACAGTACTTGGTCTGATACAGCCGTTACTGTTACCATCATCTTGGTCTGTTTCTAATGTGGTGTTTTACTTGTAGCACCCCTACAGCTCTCTTCCTGCAGTTAAAATAATTATAGTATTCGCTATTCTGACCTTTATGTGCTGCTCTGTGGAAGTTTGCAAGGGCAGCAGTGTGAATTAACATCTTTTGGAATTCCAACACTTCATTTTTAGGTCTATCCTCCTCTTAAACATCTCTTCAGGTAGGTCATTAGTGGGGCAGCCTTTTTTTTTTTTTAATACTTCTGAGTAAAAAGAAGTAGAGTATTCAGACCTGTGAACAGTGTTTTGCTAGTGCCAAGTTTAATTTAAATGAGCAGGAGGAGCGTATATGCCCAAGAGTTACCACTTAAAAGATTGTTATATATAAAGACAACTTTTCAAGTGGAAAACTTTCTTACTCTCATCTACAGAATTAATAAACAGTTTATGAAATTCACTACAGGACTTGTCTTCTTGCTATAGTAAACAAAGATCTGAGAATTTGTAGTATTTTTGTAGTTATTCTGTAATGGCATTATTAGTCCTTTTTTCTATGCCAGTTCTCTTTTGAGAACACTTCTGGGTTTTTTCTGTATCTCAAGCTGTCCTGGTTTTGGCTGGGATAGAGTTAATTTTCTTCCTAGTAGCTGGTGTAATGTTATGTTTTGGATTCATCGTATGTAGTTCATGCATCCAAACGATTTTGATATTCTCTCATGCTTCTTAAACCCTTAGTTCAAAGCATGACTGATGTGTTGTAATTCTGACCATCCTACTTGTCTCCTGGTTTTCTTTGTCTTGCACATTGTGTTCAGGCATCTTATAAGGGGTTTAATGAAGATGGTGCTTCTGTCCCTTGTATTGAGGACATCTACTTTCTACTTCCAGAAGGGAACCCTGCTTTAAATGTATTGAGAGTTGTAAATGTTATTTACTTATTTTTATATGAATCTTGCCAGGAGGTATCAGGTGATACAGTTGCCACCTTCTTAACTTTGTTTCTGTTTGTCACTTGAATTTCCTTCTCTGTTGTCAGTTACCCTCAAACTTATTGCCAAGGCCAAGACCACTTGATTTCTGTTTGCATAGCACCCAATCCAGCAACCTGACTTGGGTCATTTAGGGAGGAAACCAAACCATTAATGTGAAAAACCTGTGATGTGTAACTTCGAAGTGTATATCTGACTTTTGTTTGGTGACCATTCTAAAACTGTCTTCACATGCATTGCAAATTAGTGATGAGCCACTGGGTAGTGGTCTCTGGTGTGGTATAGAAGCATGGCCCAGCAGAAGGCAGGGCTCAACTCTCTGAGTTTTATTGGTGGGTGAGTGCCTCTAATTCTTTATATTATTTGTGCAGGACAAGAATTAAGTGTAGAAACTGATGGGAATTACGTTGGGCAGTCAAGTTGTTCAGTGTCTTTTTTCAGTATAGTGATCCTTTGGAAAGGCACATCTGTGGTAAACAAGTTTTACTCTATGTAGCCTAAAAAGTAATATTAAAGCTAAACACTTTTTGTTACGTAGATCAAATAAAGTCAGTCAATATTTGACAAGTCTTTAGCCATTCAAAATACGTAATGCTGTGCTCAGTTGTGGCCTTTTATTGTAGCTGCTTTTACTCTACTGCATTACATGTTTGAGTAGTCCAAACCGATAAGTTACATGTGCCCTTGTACTCCAGTGGTCTCAGTCTTGATTGTCAGAGGTGCTGTGTAGGTTGGAGTGAAGAAGCAGAGCGGTAGGTAAAAGCAGATTTGTACGGTGCCTTGAAAAGCACAGCTGTTAGCAGAACCAAATGCAAGGAATTTGAAATTGAGTATTGAGTTGTGAGGAAAAGCTAGTGGTCCAGGCAGTGGGAGGTGAAGTGCAGAAGACTGTAGTTTACTACACGTGTAGCAGTGAAAATTATAAATCTATTGAAGTGAAGACCTTAAAGGAAAAAACTGATAGTTCTGTTGCTGTTTGAATTTTCCTTAACAGTCAGATTGCTTGATATTGTTACTGGTTCTGCATGGTCAGATTTTTGTAAACCAAGGGGAGAATACTACTGTATTCCTGAATCCAGGCTGGGATGTCAGGTGTGCTGGAATTTGTCTTTGAGTGCCTCTTTTTAACTTGTTGCAGCTATTTCATCAGTTCCAGCGCCTAAGGCAGAGCCTTCTCCCTCACTACCTTCTGCTGGTTCTCTGCCTAGTGTGGTATCCACCACTGCTTCGCTTCTGCCTTCAGCATCGCAGCACGCAGCAACGTTGCCCAGCTTGCCTCAGTCCAGTGATTTGGCCAGCAGGTGCCTTTGCCAGTGAAGCAGGTACGGTAGGAGTTGTGATAAACTGAAAGGGGTTCCATTTTGGGGAAAGGGCAAACGTGAGGGTGATTGTGTCTGGGGGCTGTCAGACCTCAGGGTCCCCTTTTCTGACCCAAACTAGACTGAGGAGAGAGATTCAGAAGAGAACAGGATGTTTCTGTTTGCAAAGTATGAGCTCTGGGCTGCCTCTTAATGATAGAGCAGCTGCTGCCCTCAAGTTTTTGTGGTATATAAACAGCTTTGTATTTCAAGGGGCTCTTGCTTCAGTCATGCCAGCTAAATTAGCTAAATTGATTCCTCCAGGTTTGTTTTTTTTTTTCTACTATGTCCACAGTGCCTGCTGTTTGTTTAGTGTTGTATGTTTGAAACCATTCCCTAACAGTTTACTTCCTGGCTAATTTTGAAATAGTGTAGTTTCATTTATATTGGTATTTCTTAAAATTAAAACCCAGAAATAGTTCTACAAGGAAAGTGTGTGTTTTTTCCTTTACTAAGAGTCTTTCTAAGAGTCTTCCTTAAGACACTTTGAAATATCAGATTGGTGTTCCTGGAAGTGCATTCAGCACAGCTTAACTGATTTGTACTATTTGATTTTTCTCAGTGCCTGTTACTTGAGCTTCATCCTCAGGCGGGTGACGTCCTGCGACTATACTGGTTATGTTTTAATACTGACCCTTGTACTGTATTTGTTAATGTAAGAAACTAATTTGTTGGGATATCAGGGTTTTTTTTCCCCTGTTTCACAGCTAGGACGTGGTTGATTCTCTTTTAATACACTGGTGGTTTTTGTTGAATAAAATGCTAAATATGTCAAATAACGAGAATTGTTCCATTTGCATTAGAAACATCATCTCCCCACAAAAGCTGTGTACGTTGGTAGAAATTTTACTTGGAGGGTTGGTGCTGTTGGGCAGATACCAAGTGCCATGAAAAGATGATGCCTGAATTCCGAGCATGTGTGATGTTGTTGTGCTGGTGGCTCTTGTCTGTGTCTCTACCATAGGTCAGATGGTGAATTAAGGCTTATTAGAAGAGCTGAGGAGAGTGGGCAAGGGAGTGGTTTAAAACCGTATGTTGGACTGAACTATTTCTTTCCTTGCTTCCTGAAGTGGTGTCATTGTAATTCCTGCAGATGGGGAACAGTTTTAAAGAATCAAAGTAAAATTAGTCTGTGAAACTGCCATGATTTATTCTGGTCTCACATCTCAAAGAGCTGCCAGAAGTGTTTGCCCTTAAATTAGGACATACAATTTAGCCCACTGCTTTGCTATGAAAACTGCTGTATTTTCTTGTGGCTATTTCCATAGGGAATACGAAAATATTTGTTATGGTTAGGATCTCTCTTACTTCTGATTTCACATGAGGAGGGGCTTTTTTAAGCACCAAACCGTACATGTTTTTTATGGCTTGGTTTTGTTTGTTCAGTGTTCATTCTGTTTATTTTGTACTGTACTGTAAGTTATGTTCTTGACCTCAAATGTAAGGTATAACTTTTATCAGTGTAAATGTTTAAGAAGCAGTTTTAGTCACCTTTCAGGGAGACATTTAAAGATCTTTGGATTACAGATGAGTGTCGGTGCTGCTGTTACTGCCAAAAGCTCACAGGCCTGGTCAGCTAGGGAAAAAAGGTGGTGCTAAAGCAGAGTTGCTTCCTAAAATTAATTATCTGCAGATGTTTTTCAGCAAGGGATTCTTTATTTTCATTCTATACAATGTACGTATAAAACTGAACTGATAGTTCTGATTCATCTTTTCAAATAGGAAATGGCTTTTGGTGGAGCGTGGTGGTATGAACTGGCCTTGATTAAATTGCCAGATTCTGTAGTAGTATGGCTAATTTTTGGGCTTTCACAGATGCTTTTCATTTGCTGGGGGTTTTCTGAGCCCTGTCTTTTGAGAATGTGTTGGGGGCTTTTGGCAAAGTTATGGGGCAAATACCATGCAGTTCTAATTGGTTGAACTAATGTTATGCAGGTTAAGACGTGAGAAATACCATAGTGAGTCAAACCAAAGTACTGCCTAACCTGATTAATGTCATTGCCCTGTGGCAGGCAGCAGCAGTTGCTCAGGGAAGGAATGAGAAACAAAGCACGTGTTGTGTGAACCTTCTTCTGGTTTTGGACTTCATGTGTCTTGGAGTCATTGCTACATAATTCTTGTAGCAACTATTGCTTTTCTAAAAATATAGTAAATCGATAATTACAAGTAAATGGTGTTTTAGATGCTTCTTGTTAGTTATGATTCTCTCTGTACTTCAGTTTTTTTCATTTAAAGGTAGTAGGATATTAGTTAAAGAAAAAATTGTCTGTAGGGGTGTGTGTATATATCTACACATACACATATATATGTATATACACACACCCCTACAGGCATTTTTTCCTTTAATATCCTACTCTGTGTGTGTATGTATATACACACCCCTACAATTTTTATTCTTCAACTAATATCCTAATATCTACTCTGTGTGTATATATATGTGTATATATACATACATGTACATACTTAAAATAGTTCTAGGAAAAATTAAATTTTATTATTTCTTTGCAATTTCTTTCTAGCTCCCTTTCCAATCATCAGAGCAGCCTCTCCCCTGCCTCAGTGTTGTCTTCAAGCACATCACATGCAGTAAGTCCTGTTTGCGTTTCAACAGCTGTTTGGCATATAGTCAGTTTATCTGATAATTAAGACCCTCTCTTAATGTTCGTTGTGTCCCAGTACACAAAGAACTGAAATGAGCCTTATCTCAGGGAAGAATGACTGCCAGCCCTCTTGTGGTAAAAAAAGTCTTTACCACTTGTGATTCGTACTAGATCAGGAACAGCTATTACAGAGACTTGCCAATCACACAACTGCAGAGGAAACTTCTGTGCCAGCAAGGGAGGGTGAAATAAAGAAAGAATTTTTTGTAACACATATATTAAAAAAAAATTTAAAAATCTTTGGAAGTGGCTGTCTGAAACTGCTCCAAAATGTGGACTGTTAGCAGTCTCAACTGGAGAGGTTAGCTGGCAAAATGCAGGTGATGGAATGGTACATGTCATGAGAAATGCCTTATGACAGATGATTTTAGAGTTTACCATATGGCATTGTTGTCATCTATGTATTTAATGCATTTGCGATAACAAGGCAAATGGTAGTGAACACAGTGCTCTAGATGAGGTTTCACAAACAAAAATGAGAGAGTCACTGCCTTGTTCTGTGATGGGGTACTTCTGTACAATCCCAGATGGGGTGTGCAGATAGGTTACCGCTTTTCTTTATGCCTGTATTTTGGTTTGTAATGCTCCATCCCTACTAAATATGTAACTTAAAAATTCATACTTATCCAAATGTCCTTCTTTTCTTGTCAGAGTTGTTTTGGCTTCTATGTGTTGATGACACTGTTTTGCAAGTGTGATTGGCTTACAGCTAAGGCACTGTATTGTGCTGGATTCAATCTAGGAACTACTTTATCCTCATGTGTTCCTGTAATACATCTGGTCTGTGTTTGAGTTTACCACATGGACTCTGTTGTGGGGCACTACAGTTTTAACTTTTTAAATTCCACAAGTGTGTTGGAGAAATCACGAGAGCAGTGTCCTGTATTTTGAAAACAAATACTGTCTTTTGGAAGAATATAGGAGTTTAAGATAAGTACTAGCTTGGAGGAGTATACAAGCAAAGAGCAAGAAATAATGCAATGGAGTGACATTTGAGTTACTGTGGTATACTTTTGTGATGATATAGCAGTTTGAATTTAACTCTTGTAATAATTTTCTTTGAATACTTAAAATTCACAAGCACGCAACTTAGTTGCTTGCTTGGTATATAGATAATGCATATCTTTTGCATGTACTGCTCTTACTTAAAAGATTGTAGTTGGGGTTTTTTTGGTTTGGTTAGGTTTTTTTCCCCAAGGATCTTCCACAGTGGTTTATTTGCTCTGTGATCCTCATTCTTTTTGTCTCCTTTCTAGCACACTAGTGTTGAGAACACAACTTCGCTCCAGCCCTCAACAACCTTTTCAACTGCTTCAACCTCAGCCACTAGCACCACCTCTTCAGTTGTCAGCATGGCAAGCAGTATGAACACTACAAACAGCCTTGGCCTGAGCGTTACCAGTGTGTCTATACCAGCTGCTACCACACGGGCAGCTCCCTTAGTGTCTTCAGGTTCGCAATATTAATGTGACATGTGGATAGACAGAGGACTTCAGTCAGCAGGGCTGTCAGTTGAGCATCTCACCAGCCATAACTATGCTAAGAAATCCACACTCTTGACTAGCATTTTCAGCATGCTTTATTTGCTGTCTTACACAAAACCAGGCAACCTTATTTTATATTTGAAATATTTGTTAGGGTGTTATGTGGCATTTATATAAGATATCCCATCCCCAAAGAACTTTATAAATAGATAATAGGGCAGTTCAGACTGTGGAAGTTTTGGGCTAGGAGATTCACCCAGTTTTTATTCCAGGTTGTGATCAGCTCTTGGCTATGAGTTCACATTAGCTTTAATTTCAGTATTCTCTGTGGCTTGAATTCATTTGGCAGTATCAAAATACACTGCAGTGTCCTCATTACCATATGCCACATCCCTACTGCCACATCTACAGAAAGGAAAAAAGTGTCTGATGTCTGGGTCATTCCACAGCAAAATAGAAGATGGGGAGGCTTCTTGCACTGAAGTGAAAGTAATGCTGAATTCTCTTTTGCTTCTCGAATCAACCTGAACTGCTAAAAGGAAATCCTATGGAAGGAAGTGAATGATTTTAACAGAAGGATTTCTCATTCCCATATCTTGTAAATTAAGTGTCTTGATGACTGGCCAAAGTGCATTTTTTTTTACTCTTCTGCTTCCTAGCACTGCTTCATGGAGGCAACTGAAGCTGTTTCAATCTTACTCTCTTTCCTATTCTCAGCTGCAGTAAGTCACCCACAAAAAGTACGCTGGCAACATTTAGTGCTTTCCAGTCTATTGCTGGTGGTAAGGGGAAATGTGTTGACAAGAGCAGAAAATGGAAGGAGGGAATTTGCTTTCTTAGATTGAGAACAGTGCCTAAATTTTACCTTGAGGAGACGACTGAGGAAAGGAGAAGTTTCTGTAATTCTTGTAATCCTCTTGGACAAAGTAAATGGCAAAATCAAACTGTTCTCTGATGGGACTCTTCAGTCTGAAGTAGCCTGTGCTTTCCCTTCCTTGAGGCATGGTTAAACTCTTCAGGCTCTTTTGAGCATATTCATCAACCAGCACAAAATTCTTCTGTGTAGTTCTGCTCTTTACGAGCTATGAGAGTGCAGCTGCCAGGGCTTGTGAGCTATCTTGTCTGGATGCTGAAGCCTTTTGTTTTCTAAAGGCTTGTTAAAGTGTCTGTGTTTTGATTCTACAGGCAAAGCTCCCCCAAACCTGCCCCAAGGTGTACCGCCCTTGTTGCATAACCAGTATATTGTGGGACCTGGAGGACTTCTGCCTGCCTACCCAGTAAGCAATTTAATTGTTCCTGTCCTCAATTGCTTAACCCTTGGTGCAAATGGGCCCTCGCGAGCTGCTGCTGTCTATGCCAAGGCATTTCTGTTGGCACATGTTGCACCTAGAATTCTTGTTCCAAATGCTGAAGAATATATGAAATATATTCAGTGGGGGTTTGCTGCTGGTAGTAAACTGTAGAACTGTTGGTACAGACTTATGTGGCTGCTGTTGAAGCTAAACATGCATGTTGCTATGGTTTTCAGTCATATCAGGTTTTAGGGCCTTTGAGTAAAATTAGACTCATTCAGGTTTGTGTTACTGGAATAGATTTACTATAGTAATGGTTGAAATGTACCATGTGTCCTGTCTGTCATACTTTGAAAGATTGCACATAGCTTTTTGATGTCTGACCAGGATCAACACATTTTGGTTATCTGTTTTTTTGCATGGAAACTTTATTCTAATCACCTTTCTGTATCACACTGAATGCAAGGGGATACCATAGGTTACTTTGTGGACTCATCATCAAATCTTAAATCCTGTTACTCTCAGAAGTAATGATTGCAGCAAAGAAGGCTGTTGCTGTTACTCCCAAATCTGAATGCCCTGTAGATTTTTCACAAGTGGATGAATGATGCATCTGTGAAAACAGTATTGAAGATGGGACAGTGAAACTCTCCTCAGAGGACTACTGTCACTGAGAAACAACATCAGAGTGACAAGCCATTTTAAGCTTAGCATTACTAGCCTTTAAATGCTACAGTGCACCATGATGGCACAGTGTGATGTATAGCTGTACACCTTTAAAATAGACTAGGCCTAGGTCAAACTCTGTTTAAATCCCCAAATTGGTCAGAGAAAAGTGTTACAATGATGTTGTATTTTTATCTGTCTTTAAGCAGATTTATGGTTATGATGATCTCCAGATGCTTCAATCCAGGCTGCCAATGGTAAGTAAATGGCTTTGTTTGTTTAATTTTAAAAAAGTTATCTTCAGTTTTGATAATTTGTGCAATGCAAATTTATTTGTTTAATGGTGATTGACAGCTTATCCTTATGTTTTATGTTCTGTTTTTTTAAATATCCTCAAACGGTTTCTCTAGGTGGTGTGAATTGATATAGAGCAACTATTGTATTGTGCATTGTTCCATCTGCAAATTCTGTAAATAGAAGCAAGTGTGCTCTGTGCTTGTGAGTGGAGAAATTTTCAATTGTTGTTGTATGACATTTTGTCAAATTGTAGTTGAAACCTGAATGTGAATGTTTTCTTTTACCAAGAGGTAGGGTTGAACAGCAAGTACACAAATTGGTAGTCAGTAGGTGCATCTGACAGGTTTTGGAGGTGCTCATAGGTGCAGATCTTTGCGTATCCGTCATGGCAACAAATGCAGGTGGGCTGCCAGAGGGAGAGTATATGAAGTTTTATTCCTTATCTGGATCCAGAATGTAAATGATGTGTGAGAGATGCTGAGCTCCCAGACAGATTCACAAAAAGCTTCAGCCAAGATTGCAGAAAGGTAAAGAATATAGTTTTCAGAAAACTAAGATAAGGATTTTGGAGGGAAAGTTTGGTAGTATGTAACAGGAAAGTCACAGGATTAAATGATTCAGTGTATCTGTAGGGGAAGAAATTGAGCAATGAGCAGTGAACTGGAAAAGAAGTATCAGTGAATGAATGCCATAATTAAATGTCCAAGTCAGTACCAGGTCTTCCATGTGGTGTTTGGGGACAGCCAGAGGCAGAGAGTCAAAAGTGAGTACAGGGAAGTCCCAGAAAAAACCCTGTCCAGCTGCACATCCTGAATTAAAAATATAAAGTTGAGTGTATTAATGAAGATTTTAGCTACCGATGAAGGCATGATCCTTGGAAGAACTGTCGACTGAAATGAATACGATTATTTTCAGCCCAGCAAAATGACAAAATATTTGTAGTTCTGGGGCCAGGAGAGACATGATGTGGTGGCTTGACGCTGGGTGGATGCCAGGTGCCCACCAAGCCCCTCTATGACTCCTCAGCTGGACAGGGAAGACAAAAATAAAGAAAGGCTTGTGGGTCGAGGTAAGGACAGGGAGAGATTGCTCACCAGTTACCATCAAGGGCAAAACAGACTGGACCTGGGAAAATTAGTTTAATTTATTATCAATCAAATTAGAGCAGGATAATGAGAAATAAACCCAAATCTTAAATAAACCTTCCCTCCCCGCTGCTCCCCTCCCTCACCCCCTTCTTCCCAGGCTCAATTTCACTCCTGCTTTTCTCCACCTCCTCCCTGCCAGTGGCACAGAGGGATGGGGAATGGGGCTTGTGGTCAGTTCATCATGCGTTCTCTCTGCTGCTCCTTCCTCCTCATAATCTTCCCCTGCTCCAGCATGGGGTTCCTTCTAGGGGAGACAGTCTTCCACAAAACCTCCAAAGTGAGTCCTTCCCATGCACTGCAGTTCTTCATGAACTGCTCCAGCATGGGTCCCTTCCACAGGGTGCAGTCCTTCAGGAGCAGAATGCCCTAGGGTGGGTCCCCCGCGGGGTCACAAGTCCTGCCAGAAAACCTACTCTAGTGTGGGCTCATCTCTTCACGGGTCCGTAGGTCATGCCAGGAGCCTGCTCCAGCACAGGCTTCCCACGGGGTCGCAGCCTCCTTCGGGCATCCCCCTGCTCCGGCATGGGGTCCTCCCTGGGCTGCAGGTGGATATCTGCTCCACCGTGGACCTCTGTGGACTGCAGGGGGACAGCCTGCCTCACCATGGTCTTCCCCACAGGCTTCAGGGGAATCTACTACAATGCTTAAAGCACCTTGTCCGCCTCCTTCTTCACTGACCCTGGGGTCTGCAGGGTTGTTTCTCTTACATGTTTTCACTCCTCTCTCCAGCTGCATTTTCTGTACTGCAGCTACTTTTTTTTCCCTCCTTAAATATATTATCACAGAGGCACTACCACTGTGACTAATTGGCTCAGCCTTGGCCAGCAGCAGGTCTGTCCTGGAACCGGTTGGTGATGGCTCTGTTGGACACAGGGAAACTTTCTAGCAGCTTCTTACAGAAACCACCCCTGTAGCCGCCTTACTACCAAGACCTTACCACACAAACCCAGTATATACTGTTAGAGTAGCTAGAGGCAAAATGTTTTCTAAAAGAGAGGTTCGACTTTTATCAGCGTGTGCTTCCCATGTGTTCACTCAATTTTTTTGTTGCTCTCTTGACAGGAATGCTTTTTTCCATGTACCTCTGACACAGATAGATGCAGAGGCTAGACCAGAACATATCTCTAGCTGGGGAGGTTTGCCATTGTAGGGCCAGGAGCTTAGACTTCTAACGTTATTCACATGTGGTAACACCAAGCAGAGAGAAAAAAAATCAGGGGGAAATACTTAGTCAACAATTAATAGAGTAAAAAACAAGGAGAAAACACATTCTTAACAAATCCATTAACCTCAATAGAAAGGATGAATGAGAGAAAATATTGCTATTCATAACTTCTATGTGCAGCCCTATTCCGGTTGGTGCTGCAAGGTGTCTTCAAGCAGCGCAGCGAGAGGGTTTGTCGTGGAGAATGCCTGAAGCGTCGAGAGTGGCCGCGCTCGGCCTCATCAAAGCGATGATGTCTGCCGTGCGTCGTCGCCTTGGAATCGTGGAATGGTTTGGGTGGGGAGGGGCCTTGAAGGGCCATCTGGTCGAAGCCCCCAGCAGCGAGCAGGGCCGTCTTCGACTCGATGAGGTTGCTCAGAGCCCCGTCCAACCGGACCGTGAATGTTTGCAGGGATGGGGCAGCTACCACCTGTCTGGGCCAGCCGTTGCGGTGTTGCAGCGCCCCGATGGTAGGAAACGTCTTCCTTGTATC